CCTCCGGGGTTGGTTGGGGCCACAACAGGGAATCCACGTTTTTCATTGAAATATACACGAAAAATCTTTAAAAATCTTCTCAAGAACCACGGAGACAGATAAAGCAAAACTTATGTGGAAGCAACAATAGCATCTTTTACAGTGAAAAATTTAGAGAATTTCTTTAAAAACTTCTTCTTAAGAACCACAGGATTAGAAAAGCTGAATTTCATTTGAAAGCATCCTAGGGGTAGTGTAAGATTCTAAATCATCTAGATCATGACACATGGGGTATGGTGGGGTCACATAAGTATGACAAGGGAGGGATATGGTGAAAACAACAAGGTCGAAGTTACTCGGGTGAACTTTGTGGTCCACGTGCCTCTTGTTATGAACATTGCTGGTATTTCTGAAAACTGTAGGAGGTGACATCCCGAGCACGTTAATGAACGTATATATTTTGTATTTAAAACTGTATACAAAGAACTATAAAGTCAGAAAGAGTAAATATTAGTACCATGCAAATTTCTTATATATATATATACAACAAGAAACTTTTTGTAACCATCAATTGTTGCCCGGGAAATATATGAAGTAAACAATGAAAATTAGTCTTGATCATCAAACCGCTTCGATATGCGTGAAAAGGCATGCGTCTAATTGATGGAGACAATAGTCGCGAATATTTTGAAAACTTATAGTCGGATAAAAAATAAAACAAAAACGATACCTTTTTAAACTTGATCAATTCCTCAAGTAAATGTTGGCTGCATAAAATAGAAATTGAAGTTAGACACATGCATCATCTATTTTCAAAAATGTTCATTAAATTATTTAATTATCAAAATGTTAATTTTCAATTTCGGAATATAAAACACGAACTGTGCAGAGTACGTTTTTATGCGAGAAGTAAATTTCGATGTTCTAAAAAAAGGGAATCTGTCTTTTTTTCGATAGTAAATGATAAGCAACATTATATATTAAATATGAAAAACATATATATTTTTACAAATTCACTTTATTGAAGTAAATATATTATGTATCTCGTAATTTATAAACGGAAAGAACATTCAGATTTACAATCTTTTCAATATTTAGAAAACCTTTAATTCTAAATTACTACTCCCATCCCAATCCACAGACTCCAACACCTAAACTTATATGTATAGAGCAGCCCGGTCCTCCGGGCTACAATTAATCTGCAACATAAAAACACTGAGAGAATTTATACAGACAAATGATGCAGCACCCTAATATAAGCAATCGCCATTTTCACAGTACAAAATGGTGCATTTGGACCAGAAATTAAAACGTCATATAGCATATTATTCACATGTATATGTTTTCTAGCTTTAATGCAAAATTTCTTGCAAATTGCATTGAAATAATCCTCGAATGAGTCAGTTTTCGTTCCTAAAACCTCTGACATCTTGCTGAATACTGACCATGTGATACATGTATATGACTTTATTGTCAGGAATGAGAGATCAACTGATTCCTAATAAATCGAATTTAGATAAATAAAAAGAAATTGCACACTTAATTGCGTAAGATAAAAGTCCATATAATTTATTGTATCAATAATTTTACATAAAATCTGTGTGAAAAAATTCTTCCTGAACATCAACTTGAAAATTAAACAAAATAGAAGATATGTACATTTATGTATGGATTAATAAAAATACGAGGGTTCGAAAAGTTCGTGGACTAGCGCCATAAAATTAAAACCGCTTAATATACATCAATGAATTTTCTAACGTACAATTAGCATCATTTTTTTTATTTAAAGCATAAACTTTAGATCATTGATTATCTTTTTTAAAAAATTGTTGATTTTTTTGAAGCAATGGTGTTTCCAGGCGGCGCGACCTCGAAGATTACGTTTTTTTCTTCCTAAGCGAAACTGAGAATATCTTTTTTATGTGCATTTGGCATTATACATCAGTGTAATAAAACGCTTATCCAATGGTTGTGAGTGGGATAGCTCTTTTATCAAACACTTGACAGGAACTATTCCCCTCGGGCAAGCTCTCGGGGAATAGTTCTCTGTCGCGGGTTTGATAAAAAGAGCTATCCCACTCACACCCATTGGATAAGTATATGAAATGTTCAAACAATTTATGAGTTGTAATGACGTCAGAAAGGGGATGGGTTTCTTCTTCTAACATGCTATAAAGTTTCACCCACTGGAAAAAAAACTGGCAAACATCTAGGAAATATTTAAATGGATTATTGAAAAATAAAATGCATTCAAAGTACTTGTTTTTAAATACCGAAAAAAAATTAGAGAGACGAGAAATGTAAAAGTTAATGTCGATTTGTAGTAAGGGTGTACAAAGTCTGTCACGAAGAAAAGTAATGTTAATCATGTGTGATAGATGTGGAACGCCAGCAAGCAAATATGCTATTATAATTAAGTTAGAATCTTTCACCATGTATAGATCTATTTACAATATCATATGCATTGAAATCAGCTATTCCTGACATTTTAAAATTACAAGACGAGTTTGAATCTTTACTTAACTCCGAGGAATCCTATCAAGATAAGTGTATGAGGTAGAGAATGCGGACATTGAGAAACAATGACGTCATGCAACTAAATGGCGACTGCGCCTGGGTGAACAAATGTCTTTTTATTTTATGATAATTTGGAAAATATTTAAGGTATCAAGCTAAAACTTTCAACATTTTTCTAACTTTTTTTTGTTTTATGTTTCTTGAAAATTTTGTAAGCATCAAGTTCATAGTATTAATTTTATCGCATCTGTCTTCGAACTTTCGGAGCAACTCTCGTAAATTAAATAATTCATAAGAAATGTTTTTACCAGTATATTTTTGTCGGTTAACTGTTGTTCTGTTTATAATTCATAAGACTAAATAATATACACGTATTTCCAAGAGCAATTGCATACCATAACAAAACTTACATCTTCATGGAACAATAATTACATTGCAACATTAAGCCTACATGCTAAATATAAATGTTACGCATGGAGTAGGAATTCTGATTTACTTGCTTTGTTTCCTTTTTGCCTATTTCCTAATATCTGACAGCTGTTTTTAATGACAGAATTAATCCAGGATAACAACATGACTTCTATCTGAAATGTCTTGCGTTTTTGAATGATGCAATTTCTTAATTATTTTGGATGAAAATTGTCTGGAACAAAACGGCGGAAAATTTATTTGTAGCATGTTAAGTTATTTATAATGAAGTTCGTATTTCTCCTACTTTACTCTTACTGTTTTGAGATCTTTCAATCACGGAAGTCCTTAAACTATTTAAAAATTTTATCATAAAGTCTTACGCAGACTTTAGCAAAACAAAATATTTCTGTGATTCAAAGTATATATATTTAGACATTGAATATCTGCATGAAATGCGTCATTTCTGGTGACATAACAGGTTCTTCATAACCATTTGTACAACTGATTCTTTTAGTTGGCCATCTTTTCTGCTGACGATATATTGCCTAAATATAAATCTAACTATGATGGATTTATAAAAATGAAAACTGGCAGTACGTATAGTATACAACGGTTACTGTATACGGGGAAATTTTGCCCCTTTCGCCCTATCCTTCATTGGGCGAATTTAAAACGGGGCGATTTCAAATTACACCTTATAATTTCTTGAACAGAACTATGACTGGGCGAATTTAAAACGGGGCAAAATTGTTCACAACTTCAAAAAGGCGAAAATAACACGGGGCGAAAATAACCCTGTATACAGTATACTTCACATGATATAATAATTCTAATACTCAGTTTCCAGAATGGTATTACATAACAAGTGTCAATTTGTTAAAAAGTCGGGTGGGATTTATTCCACACTTATACATGTGTATCTTTAATTTTCTGAAACTGGAAAGAGTAAAGTCCCGGAAAAGGTAGACTGGAAATAGCTATCCAACCCTAGTGTGTTTCCATAAACTTCATGCCCAGTACCACAACAAGTCTGTATCCAAACATGCTGCCCCTTCTGTACGGTAACAATCACCAAAGCTGATCCTGAATTATAATTTCCAGATACTAACGAGGTGGTAGTTGTAGACATTACCTTTCCTCCCACCAAAATGTTTGTATGCGCATGATCTGCATAATTAATCATGGTCCAGTGGAAGAGGTATACACCTGAGACCGGGGCGATAAATATCCCGTCCTCTGGGTGGTAGTGATTTCCAATGTTCAGTATCGTCTGCTCAAACTTGATGATGTGTCTCTTATTGAGTGCGGATTGGGTATGGTTCTTGTAAGCAGAAAAGGAAACGTGTTCATTTCTTCCCGTGGACACTGTATAATAATAAAGGAGAAAATTCAAGGGCCGTGAGTTTACAAAATTTACAGGAATCTAATTACAAATCTTTCATTAATTGGAACAATTTTTTTTTATTCTGAAAGTCACACAGACTAATCTGCATGGTTCCACAATAAAGTAAAACAATCCTTAGTAAATATACTTCATGTCTTGGGCAACAAAAACAAGCTTAAAATATTTACCTAGCATTTAAAAGGTGATTTCGAAAGGTTTTTTTCTTAATTGCTAATGTTTTTTTTTACATCTAGTATTTTTATTACAAAAAGAATGGCAATGGAAAAGAGACAGCTTCGCTGTTATCATTTTTCTTTCTTTCCCAAAAATTTTGAATTATTTCATTTCCCATAAAAGTTTTATGAAACTTGTGGTATTGATTCCAAAATATATTTAAAATACAAAATGTTACAACTGAATCTGAAAAAAAAAATACGACCAATCAGACATAATTATATTTATATAATTATGTGAAGGTCATGAAAACAAAAAAGAAATATAGGCACCAAAATAATTAAAATTTAAATGTAACACAGAAAATTTTACCTATAGGTATTTTTGTTTTCAGAAGTGGGCTTTTCCTTAAATTCAAACTTAAAGATGAAATTACTCGGATCTTAGTGTAACTTTGTGCAAATTCAGTATAACAATATAAGTAAAACAGTATGTCTCAGGAAAGAAGTACGAATATATTTCGTTAAAATCTTACCACTAAATTTTAGAACATCCGAAGATGAATTCCCGGTGACCAGTTGTCCAAGCAACTGTTCAAGATGTCCTAGTCTGTTTTTAATGTCGGCTATGTCATCATTCTGTTTTGTCTTATCGGTTGTAGAAAGTCCGCATACACAAATTATAACACACAAGAAAACTACAGTTGTTGTTTTGGGGTTCATATTGAACAGATGAATCTGAAGAAAGAAATGCATTGCTTTTTATACCAGACAAAGGTCCTCCTTAGCAATAAAAGGGTCGACGAGTCCAAAACCATAGTAGGGGTGGTTAGAAACAGAGACACAGAGATGTATTCTATTTAGCAGTCTTTAAGAGAAGATACTGTATGATCAAATTTGACCTCCTTCCAATTTTTTTGGCGCTTTTATCTGGAGCGCATATGTTTTGTAAAGAAGTCAAGTTAGTCCAACTTAAGAATAATAATGTTTGCCCTTTCCCGACCCAGGATGAAAATTTGGGTTGGTAGGTAGGTTAGAATTTTTTCTTCTTCAGAAAATGTCAATGTAAAGCTATTTTTTTCCAATCTGCTGTCCAGATTACTTAAAAAAGAATTTGCTTCCTGGAAATTAACTTAGTTTGAGAGGACAACCAAACATTTTTTTTATAGATGGTCTTATTCGAGTTTTTTTAAAAGTTTGAAAGAATTAAAAAGAACAAGTGAGCTCCCTAATATAAGTACTAATTTACAAAATACTGATATTTTCCCCGTTTGATTAGTATAGCGGGAAAATGTTGTGTTAAAATGACAAGATGTTTCTATGCGCATGTTATGTGGATTGGTCAGGGAGTGACCGATAGAAATTCATTTTGATGTGTGGTAGAGGACTAGAAGGAGATAGACAAAAGCTAACAGAAGGTTATGATTTAATTAAGCAGAGACAAAAACATTTGTTAAGTTAGTAGACTCGTCATCGGCCGGGTTGAGAACTGTAGATGAGTATGCAAAGAACCCCATAGCTTCAGACTCAAATGATTAAAAAAGAAATTCCAAAGCGCAAACGAAGGCGGAGATAAGGGTCAAGGACGAATGCATCAATTAAACGTCGGTCATGTTATTTTGAATGATGTAATGTCTTAATTATTTTGGCATGAAAATTTTCTGAAAAAAAATAGCTGAAAAATTATGTTTAGCATGTAAATTAAAGTTACTTATAATGAAATAATGAAGTTCGGATTTCTTCTACTTTATGCACTGTTTTGAGATCTTTCAATCGAAGTCCTGTAACTCGTTAAAATTTTATCATAAAGTCTCTAGTAAAACAAAAAAAAATCTATAATTCAGTGTTTATATATTTAGGCATTTGATATCGACATAAAATTTGTCATTTGTCATTAATCATTTGTACACTCGATTCTTTTAGTTTGCATCTTTTCTGCTGACAAGATATTGCCTCAATATCAATCTATGATAGATTTAAAATTTTAAAAAATGAAAACTAACAATACGAAAAGTTATCAACGTTATACTTCTGTTGTGAGGTGTGTTGTATTTGTATTGTTTCATCATGTATATTATTAGTAACATTAAGTTTCTTGTTAAGTTTAAATTGTGTGATTGATCTTTGCTGGCATTTAGGGTTATTCTGACCCATAACAGAATTGGGGGCTCGTCCGGGATCAAGAATTTCTTTCACTTTTGCAGTTTATTGTCAGAATTTTGTTAATTGAAACTTTAAATTAAATTATAAGCCAGCAGAAATCAACATGGTATTTTCGGTCACAGACTTTCTAAATTCACCAAGTGTTCAGGTTTTTGATACGTTAAAAAAGGATGACTTGATTGCATTAGGTTTGCATCTTGGGTTAGATGTTAAATCCTCTCAGAAAAAGCAAGACATTAGAATAAAGGTTGCAAACAAACTAGTAGAAGAAAACATCTTTGAAAAATACGATCTTCCTGAATATACAGTTAAATCAGAGTTAGGCTCTTATAAAATGGCAGAATATCAGTTTCAAGTAGAGTTAGAGAAAATGCGATTTGAAAGAGAAAAATTAGAAAGAGAAGATCGAGAAAGAGAAAGAGAAGATCGAGAAAGAGAAAGAGAAGAGCGAGAAAGAGAAAGAGAAGAACGAGAGCGTGAACGGAAATTTGAATTAGACAAATTAGCAGCAGAAAGAGAAGAGCGAGAAAAAGAGCGTGAAAGCTTAAGGAACTTTGAGTTAGAGAAATTAAGATTACAGCACCAACCAGAACCGTCATTTGTCAAGAATGAATTTGACGCAGCAAAAAATATTAGGTTAGTTCCGAAATTTCAAGAAAAATCTGTAGACAAATATTTTCCCCAATTCGAAAAAGTCGCAGAGAATCTTAAATGGCCACAACATGTTTGGTCAACAATGTTACAAAGTGTACTGGTTGGCAAAGCAGCTGAGGTATACTCTGCACTAGGGGTAGCTGAAAGTTCAGACTATGAGAAGGTCAAAGCAGCAATATTAAAAGCATATGAATTAGTACCTGAAGCATATAGACAAAAATTCAGAAAGTATAGGAAGTTTGATAATCAAACATTTGTTGAATTTTCACGAGAGAAAGAAGATTTATTCGATCACTGGTTTAGATCTTAGAAACTTGATAAAACTTTTGCTAATTTGCGCCAAGTCATCCTGGTATAAGAGTTTAAGGAATGTGTTCCTCAAGATTTGAAAACACATTTAGAAGATAAGAATGTGAAAACTCTTGAAGAGGCAGCAGTCATATCTGATACTTATGCTCTGTCTCATAAAAAGGATTTTGTATCAAGATCTCAGACTAGCAGTAATTCTACCAATTCAGACACATATAAAAAGAGTGGTTCAGGGTCTCATCTTCCACAAGTCTCCAGTCTCCATCACAAGGTGGTTCTAAGTCCGGTCCAGGACGTGTTGAAGGATCTTCTGGAATAGGGTCGCTTCCTACTTGTAGTTATTGTAAGAAAAAAGGTCATCTGATCAGTGAATGCTTTAAACTTAAGAGAAAAAATGATTTTGATAAAACTCAACCACACGCTTGTGCGGCAGTTAGAGGTGATAGAGAAGTCTTAGTTTCGATTTGTTCTGACACTCCTGATGTCCAGGGTTCACAGTCCAGTTCTATTGATTCTATGGAGGATTATAAGCCCTTTATGTCTCAGGGATTTGTTTCACTCGGTGACTCTAGCGAAATTAAACCTGTCCAGATTTTGAGAGATACTGGTGCTGCACAGACGTTATTGTTAGAGGGCGTGCTTCCTTTGTCTGAGCAGACTTCTACTGGTGGGTCAGTTTTATTACAGGGTGTGGAGCTAGGCGTCATTGATGTTCCCCTGCATAGAATTAGCTTGAAGTCAGATTTAGTTACTGGACCTGTTATAGTAGGTGTTCGACCTACTCTTCCCGTTCCAGGCATTTCTTTGTTGCTAGGCAATGATTCAGCTGGTGGAAAGGTTGTACCTGATCCTATAGTTTGTGAGAAAATCACTTCCAATGTCATGTGCGATGATGAAGATGATGACATTTATCCAGCCTGTGCTGTTACTAGAGCGATGGCCAGAAGACGAGAAATGGAGGCAGACCGTACTCAAGCCTTTGACGAGACGAATTCCTCTATTGATGTTGATTTGAATGACACTTTCTTATCTGACCTTGATGGCACTCAAACAAGCATGGAACCACACAATATCAAGAAGTCGGTGACGAATGAACCTTTATCAAAATTTAGTAGTGATGAAGATGAGTTAAATCTACCAGAAAGCCAAGGCAAGGATATCATAATCCGAGAGCAGTTACTTTCAGCACAACATAAAATCCCAGATATCATTCAACTTAGTAAGAGGGCACTTCCACCAGAAGAGAACACTAAAGTTGGAGAATGTTTCTATATGAAGGATGGCATCCTTATGCGAAAATGGCGACCACCTGACGCTTCCCCAGATGAAGTGTGGCGTGTTGTTCACCAAATAGTGGTACCAGCTGCTTATCGTCAAGATGTAGTGAGTTTAGCTCATGATACACCTATGGCAGGTCATTTAGGTGTCAATAAGACTTATAATAGGATTTTGAGTCATTTTTATTGGCCTAAGCTAAGAAAGGATGTTTCGAAGTTTTACAAGTCATGTCATGTTTGTCAGATGGTAGGTAAACCGAATGAGAAGATACCATCCGCCCCTCTCCAACCAATTCCAGCTTTTGAAGAACCATTTAGTCGAGTGTTGGTGGATTGTGTAGGACCTTTGCCTAGGACTAGATCTGGGAACCAGTATTTACTTACTATTACATGTATGTGCACATCCACTCGATTTCCTGAAGCCATACCTCTTAGGAATATAAAGGCAAAGAGAATAGTTAAGGCCTTAACCAAGTTTTTCAGTTTTGTAGGAGCACCCAGGGCAATTCAGTCGGATCAAGGCTCAAATTTTTTGTCGGGGTTGTTCCAGCAAGTCATGCAAGAGTTGGGTATAAGGCAATATAGATCAACTGCTTATCATCCTGAGTCCCAGGGGGCGCTAGAACGTTTTCACCAGACCTTAAAAACGATGCTGAAGACCTGTTGTTACCAGTATGAAAAAGACTGGGACGAAGGGGTTCATCTTGTGCTATTTGCTGCACGAGAAGCAGTCCAGGAGTCTCTTGGGTTCAGTCCTTTTGAATTGGTGTTTGGTCATACGGTGAGAGGTCCTTTGAAATTGTTGAAGGAAAAGTGGCTGACTGAGACTAGTGATCTTAATCTTTTAGATTATGTGTCTGCTTTCAAAGAAAAACTTTACAATGCTTGTAAATTAGCACAAGAAAATTTGAAGAGTTCTCAGTTGAAAATGAAAATGTGGTATGACAAAGATGCCAGAAATAGGGTATTTAAACCAGGTGATAAGGTTCTTGTATTTTAACCTATTCCTGGTCATCCTTTACAGGCCAAATTTTATGGCCCTTATGAAATTGAAAGCAAGATTAGTGATGTAAACTATGTAGTTAAGACACCAGGTCGACGTAAAGAGAAACGGGTTTGTCACATTAACATGTTGAAAGAGTATTTTGAAAGGTGTGACCGAAATTCTGTAAAACCAGTTTCCACTTTAGCCGATGCTAAGATTGTTCAAAATTGTATTGAAAGTGATACGAGTGTAGAAATGAATGAGAAAGATTGTAATCAGAGTGTCCGTTTGAAAAACTCAGAAGTTTTGGCTAATTTGGATGCTAAACTTGGATATTTGAACATTCACCAAAAAGAACAAGTTAAAAACTTGACGAGTGAGTATCATCAAATCTTTTCGAATGTTCCAA